AAAACTGGAGCAAGACTCCTTGTGCCACTGAATTTCTACTGTGAAGCTGAAGCAAGGATCAGCTAGATGACAGTGAGCAGAGAGTACCTGTAATAGAAGTAGTGGTAGGCATCTGTAGGGCTTGCACAGAATAATAGATTTAGGATTATGCAGTAAAATGGTTGGAAATTTACTGTATGCATACACTTGTTTCATTTCCTTCCAGTACTAAGAAACCTAAAATTTAGTAAGTCACAAATATCAGGTTGTGATTACTACTGAATCCACCAACTCAATTGGGCTCATAACTGCAGTGCTGTTTTACTACCCTGACCTGTAACACCATAATATTTATGGAAGAATTTCAAATAAAATATTTCATTTTCAGATATTTCATTCACTACGCAGCAATTATTTCCCATAACGCAGACCTACTGAAACAAAAGGGAACATTTTTCTACACAGAACTCAAAGGAACCAAATCTCTCTCTTTTCCTTTCACTCAGCAGGAACCGTTTTTCTTTTTTGCTTCTTCTGAGCAAGCTGGTGCACTCAAAATGTTTCAGGAGAGGCAAGAAAAATGTTCACGCCATGCTAAAGTCCCCAGATACAGGATGCTGGCTGTACTGGCCATAGATCACACTACCAGGTGCTGACAATGTTCTGCCAGTTTCAACAGTTGTCTCTAGTCCTACTCTGTATCATCTGCCATGTGTTGCCTTAGAGTGAATCCTCATTCTGATTTCCTGCCTAATTGCTCAATTCAGCATTCATTTACTAGTAGAGTCTCTCTGCCAGACTACCATGTGTTTTTTCATCATTCTGCTTCACTGACAGAACTGGTTGAACAAACAACTATCCATAATTCAGTCACATTTCCATACCTCAAATGCCAAGTTCGGTCCATGGTCATATATAAAAATCCTAATACTAATTGTTTGTAAATATTTCTATCACAGATCAGTAGAAATATACCAACTCCGATCTTTCTGCAAGTTCAAATAAATTGTAATTTGGTACTAAAAATGTACTGGTCGTTATATGCTACTCGTGAAAATTTTTCATTCTGTTAACCCCATGAGAGTACAGACAGGCATAGAAACCTTTAGGGCCAAGTGTACAAATGCAAACAGTGCAGTTAAGGTATGCTATCTGAAATTGGTTTTGAATGAATGATAAATATAGTTAAATATGCAATCTTAGGCACACTTCTTTGAGAAGGTCCTTAAATATTTTTAATGCCCTCCAGTGTTTCTTGACCATACCAAATATGTAACAATCAAGCCTGAAGCTGCCGTGAAAACAAAACTCCCATTGATTTCAAGTGTGATACACACTTTTATTGAGAACAAGATGCTTAGCTCATCAAGTTCAAGCCCTTAATCTGGCAATTAGATAATTTACAAACAGGACCTAGTAAATACTGAAACACAGCTTCCATGTGCAGAGTAGCCTTCTGTAGTTAGTACGTTAAGAACTAACAGATGCAAGATGAATCTCAGGAAAAATAATCATTTGTTTTCCTAAGACCAAACCATGATGCCACAGATGAAAGCAACCTACAGTTCAGACCGCAAACTTAACTTTCCTGCCCTTACACCAAGCCTGTCTGAATTTAAAAAGCGATTGGACTGTGCACTTAGTAACATGGTCTAAACTTTTGGGCAAACCTGTGCGGTGCCAGGAGTTGGACCTGATGATCCTTATGGGTCCCTTCCAACTCGGAATATTCTGTGATTCTACGATACATTCCAGATCCTTCCAAAAGGAAACCTGGAGTTTTGTAAATGGAGTAACCAACATTAGAAGTACTTGAATAACAAGGATAATTCAACGCATGAGGACTTCAGAAAGCAATGGTGAATGACCCTCCACAGTTAGATTTCTATAAGCCTACAAATAGGTCGTTCTACAGGGTTCTCTTAGTGATCTCAGCCTAGTTTCTTCAGAGAAACTGCAGTGAATAAAGGTGAATGTGTTTGTCAATGCTGTACTTGTAATCAGATGAAACTGTGAAATGGAGTGCTAGTGCAGACTGATACATCTTATTTAACCGTAAGAATAATCCATCTTAATGAGTTTGCATATGCTCAACCCTTATCTTTGTGAAGAAAAATTATATAGAAACACATGTTTTTGCTACATATACTTTAAAGATTGGAATTCTTACCCATCCAGTTGGATACCAGGTTGTTTCCTTGAACACCCTTCACGTGTAAGATTCTCTTTACTGTACTTGAAAAACTAAATTCATTCACAGAACACTTATTTACCCTGCTGTTGTAAGAAAACCCAGACCATTTGCTTTTCCACCATTTCCTCTGTTTTCTTGCTCAATATTGCTGAGGGAGCTAGCTAGTATTATTTCATAGCTAGTATTATTTCACTGCAAGACTACTTTCAATTACTTTCGAAAGGTCACGGTGACTTTGAGAGGACTGGAAGAAAGCAGATGTTACTCCTTTCTTCAAGAAGGGCAAATACGAAGATCCAGGAAACTATGGGCTGTTTATTCTCACCTCACTCACAGAGAAGGTGATAGAACAAACACACCTAGAAGCCATTTCCAAAGACAGGAAGGACAAGAACACAACTGTGAGTAGTCAGCATGGGTTTCCAAAGATGAAATCATGTTGGAAGAATATGATGACCTTCTACAATGAAGAACAGTGGCTCAGTAGATGAGGAAAAGCACATGTTGCTCATTTTTATGTTAGTAAGGTTTTCAACATTGTCTCCTGTAACATCCTCACTGACAAATTGCTAAAGTACAGACTACATTAAGTGGAGCACGAGGTGGACTGAGGCCTGGCTGAACAGCCAGGCTCAAAGGGTTGTGATCAGCAGCATGAAGTCCAGATGGAGGTAACACACTAGAGGAGTGCAGTTTAACATCTTCATCAGTGCTGTGGATGATGGGAAAAAGGACACCCTCAACAAACCTGCAGATGATACAGAAGTGGGAGGAACAGCTGGTTGTGCTGCCTTGCATAAACACAGGCTGGAGAAGTGGGACAACAGGAATGTCAGTGAGTTCAAATGGAAAGGCCAAGCCCTGCGTCTGGGAAGGAGTAATCCCCTACACCACTGCAGGCTGGGGCCTGAATGGCCAAAAAACAGCTCTATAGAAACATGGGCACACTAGGGAGAGTCCAGCAAAGGACTGATGGGGGAAAAAAGAAATTAGATTCTTCTCAGTGGTGCGCAACAACAGGTCAAGAAGTAACGTCTATTTAGATTTTCATTTAAACATAGGAAAAAGCTGTTTAATCCAAGGTTGATTGAATGCTACAATGGGTTTCCCAAAGAGGGCTGAAGATTCTCCATTCTTAGATATATTTAAAACAGCAACAGCCTGAAGTACAGCTGATACTGATTTAAACAGGACGGGTGGACTAGATCTCCAGAGGTTCCTTCCAACCTCAATGTTCTGTGAAAAACACAACAATGGGGCAACCCATTCAGCTTTGTCCAGAGAATGGCTGGAGAGACAGCTCTGAGTACACTAAGAGGAAAGTGATGTACAAAACAACATTTGTTCTGGCTAGCATAACAAGGCTGGCATAACTACATTGCTGCCTGACAGTACAAACACCAGCCAAACCCTCCTCTGCTTCTGGCTGTTCTGTCAAAAGCAAAAAACTTTCCAACTAACTGAAAACGTATCAGTGAACTGAAATTCTTCCTTCCTTATAAGGAAGACTGCTGTACAGACTAGGAGGTGCCAATTCAGAATTTTATCAGAAGTTTCCACTAGATTATAGTGAAATCCCCAAACAGGAAGATTCAAAACAATTGCATTTATCTTGCCAGTCTTTTCTTTAGGGCATCTTAAACTACAAAAATCCAGCCCCTGACATGAATGTTCCAATGGTCAAGTCACCAGTATTCAGCCTCTGATACAGCTATTTAGTGGATGGATCATATTGAGTCTTCAACTTTTCCTTAATTCTTTGAATGTCCATTTAAAATAAATACAACCGCCAGAGGGTTGCCAGAAGCCATCTCCAGAGAAGTGGATAGATGCCTCTCAAGACACAGTAACAAGGCCAAAATCTGCAGCCCCAAACAAAGGTTGTGAACAGGGAAATGCTCAAAACAATATTTTTAAATCTATCGAATGTTAAAACTTTCTAAAATAAAAATTCTAAACATATGGCATAACAGCAAACATTTAAACGACCCTGCAGTACTACATAAAGAGAAAGGTTAAAAATGTTTTGTCAGCTTAGTCTGCATTTGAAGAAGTTGGGATTTTTCTTCTGTTTTACAGAACAGCGAAAAGGAAAGTTAGGAGAGAGAGCAAAACACGAAGCACAGAAATGGAAGAAATGACTGCACTTTGTCTCAAGACCTTTTCTTTAAAATGTCTATGAAACTTACCATTTATTATGTTTAGTGAGTTGTTTTTAAAATTCATAGCTTTTCAAACACTAGCATGTTTCTTCATGTGTTATTAACATCACAAAATCTCCAGGTTCATGTTTACACATTTTGCTAAAAATGTTACAGAGTATTAGATAACTACAATTACACTGAATTTGCTGTCTTGAAATTTGTAAATCTGCATGGTGGCTGTGGCAGGGTTAAAATGAGGAAACAACTACCTCTTTTTGCTAAGACCAGTATGTGTTTGACATGTCATTGTATGAATATTCTGGGAGATTTTTCTAAAACATCACATAATTTAGCACCATCCCACAATGATCTTTATACTCCCACTGACGGTTTTCAATACCCTTTATTTTGTGTTATACAGACCATATTGCTTATCCTGCTCTCATGTACAGATCCAGTGAAATACATAAAACTAATGGTATATGAAAATATCTTAAAAACACGTTGCATCACCTGAAAGCAATTTACAATGCAAAATTGCATGTAGATACACTAAAAAATTATTACCTTGGATTATGGAAAAGGTTGAATTTCAGTTGGCTAATGCAGCTGGACTTAAGATTAAAAAGTAAAATACTCAACTGAGGACTTGAGAATCATAGAGAGAAGAAATTACTTCTTACCTACGACAGTTAATTCAGGCACTCTGGGAGAAGACAGGCAGTAATGACAGGTGCAAGGCAGGGCCTATCTTGTGCTGAAGTTTTCTCTCTCCCTCCCTGCCTGCTGCTGCATTTCTCTGCATCTCTCCAGAGGCACGTCTCTCATCCTAAGCATTCTTTCTCTACTTAGACACAACAGTTTTCTACTCCCTGGAAACAAACAAATAAAACCAAAAACACTTAGCAACAAACATCAGTGTGATGAATCTATAAACATGCACTCATCCTGTAGATGATCTGGTTACTCTCCTTTCTCAGAAAAAAATGGTTTGGGTGAAGTGTCAACCTTCAATAAAATAGACATATTTTTACAAGTCATCATAGGAAACATTTACAGCCATGTTTTTTATCTTGACCAGTGTTTGAATGCATTAGTGGCCTATCACTAAAACGGTTAGGCCTATCTACACAAGGAGATTAATTCCAACAGGTGAATGTAAATTACAAAACTGATTACCATATGGCAATTGGCAGTACCTTGGGATGAATGTGATGATGTATTTGGATACAAGTGGACATAACCATATGTGATGGTTGACCACAGTGCAGCAACCCATCCAACACACAAATTTAGAGAGGTTTTCAGAGCTTGATGGAGGTACGCAGCATCGCAAACCAAAGGCTTGCTGGATGAGATACAGCATGTTCTCAGACCATATGTTTGTTCCATAGAGGACTCTGAAGTAGTGTTTCAGTTACAGTTTCATGCCCTACTCATCCTAGTTACTCCTGACTCTAGTGAGAAGATGAACTGCTTGTCCACAGATGCTTGATTTCCATATACTGTCAGTGCTCCATTAATTGGCAGTATGGACAAGCACAGCTTAAACAGCAGAACCCTGGAGGTACAGATTACAGGGCATTCTGCAGAGCACAGGTCTGGATGAGGAGCACCAATATCAGTAAGTACAAATATGATTCACTCCACAGTATTTAGAAACCCTGTACTACATATGCGTTTTTATGTCAGGTTTACCATGAGGAACTGGTGTACCTTCACCCACCCACACAACACCTCCAGCACCCAGAGGACAAGGTGACCTAGTGCCAAGCAAGGCACATGTAACTCTGCAAAAATACCTAAACCTCCCATGGAAGCAATGCTAAGCTAGAGCTAACAAACCCACCTGGACTTTAGCTGAAATGGTAAACACAGTTAATTAATAAGGTATAGTTCTTTATGTTTCCAGTTCCTGACATGTGACACTGGCTAACTCTGCAGAAGTTCATTTAATTCTAACAGATTTGTAAGAGCAGGCTCTACGCTGCAATACATGCAAAGGTAAGTTAATTGGTTTTGTATTTGAGACAACCAGAGAGCAGGGTAGCTCTTTTTCTGTGGCAGCACATCTGACCTGCCACAAGTGCCTTAGCTCTGCATGGAGCTAGATGAATTCTGCACCTGTAGCATAGAAAGTGCAAAACCCAGATCATGTACACGTAACTGAATGCTGATTGCAGCTTGTAAGTACACAGCATGTCACCATGGTGAATGTATGGAGACTTGTGTTGACTCAGCTGAATACTCACAAAGGAAATCTCCCATAAGATCAGTTCTCCTCAGAATGCAACTTTGCTGTCACTCCTGAATAGTGTAAAAGTGTCACAAGCTTCTACACACAACATAGACCTGTGTATAAGCTCTGCATTTTAAAACTACAAAAAAGCTCCCTTGCAAATAGAAAGATGGAAAAAATCTGCATGCTTCATTGTGCTTTCGTTTTTATTTTATTTTTTTACTTTTTCTGCCCACAATCCGTCTGTTCCTGTCCTCTTTGGGACACACAAAGTGTGAAGAGCAGTAAGTTAAAGTTTCATGCACAGTGCTGGGGAAGAGGCTTCTTTCGTAACTACTATTCGTGAACTTCAGCATGCCCCAGTAGAGCGATGTTACTATTACAAGGGCTGCTGTCTTCCTTTGGTTAGCTGTGATTTTAACAATGGAAAACTTGCTATACTTCTATTAAACAATTACATTTAGGAATTGTTAGTAAGTGTAAACAGGCACATGTTAGAGGCTATTTATTACATAAACATAAGAAATGTTAAAAAAAAAAAAAAAAAAAAAAAAAAAAAAAAACCTACAAACAAAGCAGACACCTCCCATACCCGACCCCCCCAAAAATAGATTTTTGGTATTTGACAGTTTTGTTTAATTTACAGAAGATGTTTCAGTAGAGAATTTTAGCAAGGGGTGTCTGCCTAGTAAAGCACAGAAGAATCGTTTCTGAACAGCTAGACAAAAGTTGGATATGGAGTTCATTATTTACATTATGAGGCTTGTTACCTTATACTCCATTAAATTTGAGGACTGAATTACTGCTTGAATGATGCCAAGAAAGATTGCTAAGACTTTCCAGTAGATTAATAACTCTCTAGAAGTTTGTTAATTTTCCAGCACTATCAGAGGAAACAAACAAACAAACAAACATCTAGCCAGTCAAAATCAAGACTAGAGAAGCAAATAATGACAGATGAAGAGGGGTGGGGAGAACAGGTCTGCAGAATTCAAATGTTATCACAAGATTCATTTGACTCCTCTCAACATATGTGATACAGCTATAGAAGTTTCAGAAATTCCCCATATAACATAGGTGCCTTAAAAAAGCTGTCAATCCTGGGCTTTGATTTCTGTGAACTGCTGGATAATACAATACAGTTTCAAACTCCTACTTACCTTCATGATTCTGCAGAGCTGTGCAAAAAATAAGTAAGAGTCTACCCATCACCAGCAAGCCAGACAATAAAACTGAGCTCAAATTTAATGGAGGAGTTCAAACATTATGTTGAACCCTACTCAAAGCAGAAAGCAACCCCACTCTGCTATACTATCAGTAGCAATGTCATCAGATCTATCAGGACTCTGGTTGTAGAGCCCATTGAACACAAGGAATTCAGGTGTGACATGCTTATCGTCTACATTACTTCTATTACGGTAAAACAAAAATTAACAAATAGGTAAAACAAAAATATAACAGGTAAAACAAAATTTAACAAATATTTTCAAGATAAATAAACCTGAGCCAGAAAATACTGACATGAAATTAAGAGATATGAAATAATACGTCTCTCCAAAGGTTGGTAAAGCCGACCCTTTAATTCAGGGTCACATTTAGAAAACACCACAAAATGTTACATGTAGCATTAAAGCACAAATTATTTCCTGAAATAATGTGTTCTAGCATGTCAGATCTGAATTTATTTGCACTGTATTAAAGCTTAATTAGAGAACATTACTTGCAGTGGTAACTGTATGCTTCACATTATGCATATGCTTAAGTCCTATCATATTAAACAAGATACATTCTTCTTTCCCAGCACAGCATCAAAGAACAGGTTTCCATCTCTGCTAAATCCAAATTTGCTAAAGGCAAATTCTGACTTTGAATTAGGATTACAATCTGAATAGCAATTTGAAAACTACATTTATTTGCATTTTTTTTCACGTGGATTTTTTTAATATTATTCTTTTTTCCTTACACAAAGTCTCAAGTGAAGAAAATGCAAACAGGTTGTTTTGAATTATCTATGCAAGTAATATCCTTCTGCCAACTTTTGGAATAAAAATCTGACCTGAAAAGGTTAGAATCATTTTCAACTCCACTGCAACAAATAAAGTGACTCTCAGACTGATTGGTACCTGTTACAGACAGCACTCATCCATGGCGGTATGAAATCTGAGCAAACACATCATCTTTGGGTAATCTGAAATAAATGTATTAGAGTATTAAAAAAAATATGTATTTTATATTAAAGTGATTTACAGAATGGTTCTATGGTGATTTATTTTTTAATCTCTTGTATTTGAGAAAAATAGATTTTGAAAACACAATGACTTCAAAGTATAAGTAGACAAATGGTAAAAACAATGTACTTTCTCTCTGATTTTTCTGTGCCATTGTGATCGTTGTATCCTGTCAGATGGCTTATTGCTGGTGTGCTTACCTGACTATGTGAAGGCACAGTCAAAGCAGACTTCACTCTTAAAACCTTTGATGTTGGAATGGGACTAACAGAACAGTTTCGACTGGAAGAGACTGTGAAGTTCATCCAGTTCCAACCCCCCTACCATAGGCAGGGCTCCCTCCCACCAGCCCAGGCTGCCCAAAGCCCCATCCAGCCTGGCCTTGAACAACCCCAGGGATGGGGCAGCCACAGCTTCTCTGGGCAAACTGTACCAGTGCCTCACCACCCTCTGAGTGAAGAATTTCTTCCTAACATGTAATCTGAATCTACCCTATAATGGCATACCTTGAATTGACTGCAGCACGTAGCTGCTGACAGGGCCTGTAAGAACATACAAACAGGTCATGCTCTATAGCCTCTACAGTTTCATTATTCGGAGTTTATCTTAACTCCAGTGCCTATGCAACAAAACAGAAACCAAACGTCACAAATCATGCCTCTGCTCTGTTCGAACACCTAGTTTTCCCATCAATCTCCCCATTTCTCTTCATTTTCTGTATCCTAAGAAACTTTCACATGTACCTCATGCTTATTTTCCTGGTTGAATGGTTTAGGAGATAGAGTAACAAATGGCTGCCAACCTTACCACAGGCATAGGGAGAAGAGGAAAAGGCTCAAACATTAAAGAACGGCCTCTCCAACAGAGCCTAAGGAAATTAGCTGATGTCTTGACTCAAGGCAGAACGGGCAGAAGGCAGAACAAGGCAGAAGAAAAGGTTTGTTCAAATTCCAAGAATAAACTTCATGCTTACCAGATACAGATTATTTTTTTCCTTGAACACCGTATTTGTTCCTCAAAGGGAAGTAAGTTTATTTTTGATGCAGTATGTAGTGAATAAAAGATAGCTTGGATGTCCTGAATAAGAGATAACAGGTAAGTTGGGTCTGACTGCATCAGAACAGTAATTCGAGACCCCAGAAAGCATTAAAATTGACCTCAGAACGCAGCAACCCACAGAAATCCCATTTCCTTGTTTTGTTTCACTTCCAGAGGGCTAGTATTGCCTTTATTCTAGAAATCAGTGCACAATGAAGTAAGTGGAAGAACTTTTTAAGTCAACAAGAACAGCCTGATAGGGCTGGCAGACATGGACATCTACCTTCTCTCCCTAGATGACATCAGTTTGTAGAATACACTCCTAAACTGCCAATTTCTAGACAGCTTCCATGTCTCCTGAAAGGCATACGTTAAAGAAGAAAGGTTTACTAGGATATTTACTGTCTATATCCCCATTATCACCAACTTCATTAGGTTTTTCTAGATAACCACTTATGGCCACTGGCAAGAAGGTAACCCAGTCCAGATTACTGCACTACTACTAGCTCTCTGTTAGGCCAACACAAAGTTCAAGAAAAAAAATATCACATTAGGAAGAAAATTGATATTGTGGGTGGGGGCCCTTTTATCATAAAAGTAGTAATAGATCTTAGGAAATTAAATTTATATAAAACTTTATTTCAGACTAAAAACCTGTCTTTTTTGTTCTTGTAATTGTACATATGTTCATTACAAACATGAAAAATCAGTAAGTGCTCTGATTATAGCACTATTTTTATAAATCACCGTGCATCACCCAAATGGGGTTATTAATCTTTAAAGCCATTTCTAAGTCATTACTGTTTTTAAACACTGACCTAACAAAAGTTAGGATAAAAAGCTACAATATAGGTAACCAGCTAGAGAAAAGTAAGTGATGCAACAGCTACGAAACTAACTTTTAGGGCATTTTGAAACTCATAAGAATTATACAATATTATTTGCTATAGGAGATTAAAAATGCACTTTATTCAGAAAAGCTTTATTAAAAAGAAAGAAAGCCACTAAAGGTTTTTATTGCTTCTTTATTCTCTAAAAATGAAAATCAAGTCAACAACAACTGTAGTATTTAGTAGCTTCATATTATGAAAGGGTTATAAGTAAAGACCACACTTTGTTACAAATTTAATGCTAAGCTATCATTGTGAGCCTTTTATTCAAATATTCTATCATACTCCTGAAAAATTATACAGCCAACTATTGCTATAGCATTTTGGTTACTGGACCCCCTTTCTCCCTCCCTCCTAAACCCACAAAGGACACTCCCCTTCCCTAATTCAAAGGTAAGGCTAGCTGTGCAGCTAGGAGCTTCGAAATCAACACTCCTGATGGATTTTTATTTCCATTTCCTTCACTCTCCATTTTCCTATGATGCCTTCCCTGATTGCTAATGTGGACAATTAGACCAATCTTAACTCAATGTAGATAAAATACTTTCTGCCCTACCAGCTGCCCCTTCCAGGCACAAGGCATTTAACATACTTTCGATGTATGGAGAGTAATTTCAATTCAATAGTGCAATCTTTGCAGGGAATCTTCAGTGCTAAGTACCTCAAGATTATAAAATGGCCTGGCTGTAGCTCTCTGGTCAAACTGGCTGACCTCCAAGCACTGCAGATAACTGTAAAACTGAAATAAGAGTAGTGCTGTACTCAGGGAAAACACTGAAATGAAATGGAGGAGTTATTTTTTTTTTCCAGAAACCTGAAAGGGTTTAAAACGGCCCAGTACAGTTTGCAATATTGGCTTTTGACTGCTGTAACCTGATTTTTTCAGATTGATTTATTAGATAACCTCTGCAGCACTACGATCCTTTCCAAATGTCTTTACATGAACACGAAACTAATCAGCAACCCACAGGTAAGTCAGATACAGCATCATATTAACCAGCCTTACTGTAAATGCAAACGCTTGACGAGTCTTTGACAGCTAGAAAAAGGACTCCAGCCATCATCTGGGAGGATTTCTGCATGTTTTACAGCAGAGTGTGTCAGTTGCTAAGATAATATGGTTACATTTCCTGTGTAAATAATAGCCAGAGAGATTGTAGTCTTTCTTATTATACATGGCAATCTCAAAACATATGTGCTCCTGAATGACATGTTATTCACATACACGACCTCTTTAAAAAATTAACTAGCTACGAATAAGCTATATTATCAAAGCTATATTATCAATAGCTACAAATAAGCTAATGAAAGACAGTCAACAGAAAGACTGTCAGGACTCAGATTTTCTAAGTAAAACCCAATGGAACATCTACTAGGTGAGACCTCTTTCCAATCCTTTACCCAAAAGAAACATTTAAGTGTTGGGAAATTCCCCTCAGCATACCACACCTATGCTACTGCGATGCTCACTGTCATGTGAGACACGAGGATCTCTGTCAGCCAGAGCATTTTCAATGCCCACCCATGAGTGTACTTTCAAACTTCTTAGACGGGATGCCTAAAATGGCAAGTTAGCTGATTCTTCACAAATGTTTAGTGGAGTAAGTTCAAGTTTTCTTCAAAGCTGCAGGGAAACCTAGAGACAGCATATATACTACCACGCCATGCTGAAGGCTTAGCAAAGACAGGCTACTGTGTAATACTGAGGGCCATGTCCTCATTCAGATCATGAACAAAGGACAGCTTTATTTGATTTAAAACATTAAGCGTAAAAACGAAAAAAGCACATTACTAGCTAAATTTTGCTGCTTTGCAAGTTCACTTAAAGGCAGAAGTAGGAGTTTGATTTTCCTACTATCACCATTCAAGTATTTGGTCAAAAGGTACCATCACATCGCTGGGAAAGCCCTGCTCCACTAGCAACACAGTGTGCCTTTTGTGGAGAACTGAAGTCCCAATTCACTGAATCACTTCAGTTTCTACTGAAGAGCTCTACTGAATCAAGTGTGTAAGTTTGACTGTTACAAGTTCTCATTTCCTAATTTATTAGTAATTTTCTCACAGAAGGCCATTGGGCTAAGTCTGCATGAGACAGTCCGCACAAAATCAACATTTTCAGCACTCAGGCTGTCTTATTCTAAAGAACAATCCAATACCTATGGTGTAAAAGCTTCTAATTATGGTGAATTACTATGCTACCCAGCTCAGGGAATTTGCCTTTTCTTTCCAACTGACCTGAGACACGCACTAGTCTGAGAAAAAAAGAAAGCAGGGGCACAGTGCCTGTGCAGGAGACCAGGGAAGGTGCACTCCCCACTTGGATGCACCTCATCATGTAACTCCTTTAAATTTTCTTTGGTGAACCAGTTGTGCAGCAAAAAAGCTTTCAAATTTTGATTTGTTAACATGTATGGATTTTTACCAACAAGATTTCTCTTGGTCAACAAAGAAGTAATTACTTTAATGATTATTCTAGTAATTAGTCAAGTAGTCAATAGAGAGGGAAGTAATTACTAAATTAATTCAGCCATCACTAAAGAAATGAGGGACACACACAGACTGGAATAAAAATTATGCTTAGGTTACGTAATTTCTAAGTACTTCAAGTTCCCCATCATTTAGTTCCATCTAGAAAGATTGGTCTAGAACACTTAGCACTAACTTCAGGAAAATTTATGTACAACTTACAGTGGGCTCAGACGCATTCTCATTGCAGAAAGTATTAAAACTTGCACAGCTAAATTAATTGTATTGACTGAAATTCATGAGTAAAGCACAGAACCAAGTCCCTCTGCAGACCATTATGTAACACCCAATCTAGAAAAACACAAATGGCCAAGAAAAAAATAATCAAGATTATAAAAACAAAAAAGAAAAACATACCATTTTCTTGGGTGTGATCTCAGAACTTCTTTAACCTCACTGAATACAAGTGGGCCTGAAAGAAAGAAAAACAGCATTAATTCATAATTCACATTATTATTATTGATGTGCTATGGGGCACTACTGTAACAACTCACATTAGTTCATGGTTTGAGAGATTTTTGCCAAGTCGTATTAGTATTCTCTCAACATCGTATCGACATATTTTAGGTAAAATAGACAAATTTCAAGACATCAATAACTGGCCATCATCACATTGAGTTTCTGAATGACTGAATTAGTGAAATAGGTACAAGGCTGATCTGTTGATCAGCATGCAGTTTTCTTTATGTTTACACTACTCTGATGAAACCGGCATACAATCAGCAAATAATTTTAGAACTATGGAAAGGATGTGCAATAATCCTTCAATCAGTAGGCAAATGAAGATATTAAAAACGTCATATATTAGAGTAATTCCCTTCATAAATTGTTTGTGACCTAAAACAACAATTTTAGATTATAAAAAAAAAAACCTTTGTTTTCAAGTCAAAATAGGACGTTAGAACAGTACTGTTTTTTTTGTTGTTTTTTTTTTTTTTTTCTAAAAGCACATTAGAACTGACTAAAAATAGGAAAGTAAGACACTGGTGAGAGAAATGATAATTTATTTGTGCAGTTTTGAGGCTTCTTGGCCTCGTACTGATTTCTACTAAAAAGTATTTGCTGGCATCCTGGCCTCATTCTAAATAAGGTTTCTTTACCAGTAGCTACCATGTACTTCCTTGATAGATACAAAAAGATCGAAAGAAAACCTCCCAAGATGAAAAAGGAAATGCAATTAAAGCCCATACAGCCAAAGATATCAAAATGGAAAAGAATGAATCTAAGCATATACATATGGTCTAAAAATGCATGTAATACTTTATTCTCAATACCTGTTCTAAGGTTTACTCGTTCAAATCAAAAAATAAATAAATCCTTAAGTAGCCTACGTTCATTTAAGATGTAGCTTTACCATCTGTAAAGTCTTAAATCCTTTCTTCAGTGTAAGGTATCTGTGGATAAAAATCCTCAAAACAAAACATCTGTTTTGTCTCAAGTATATCTATCATTAGAACCAGGGTTGTATTTTCAGGGATTATATCTCTACATCTAATTGCCTAGTTAACACGCTTGCAACATTTGCCTTTTACTAGGCTTTCAGAGATCACTGTAAGACTAGAAGTTTCAGCCTCCGTGAAACGCAATTCAGTTCTCAAGCACGTCTGAGCATCTAGCAGATAATACGGTACAAACTCATCTGTTTATAAGGAATACTTGGGGGGGGCGGGGGGGAAGGAGGACACGCTTTCATTAAAACTGGGCAGATGATATCTGTGGCCCTTCTTTCTCAATACATTACATTGATTACAAAACTTTCAAAGTCCAGAATTAAAGCAACCTGGGAGTTTCAACCAAACTCCAACCAAATGGGGCTGTTGGGGCTCTTCTTTACAGCACAGACTCTTTCCTGTAACGATGCGATGGCGAATCAGGACAGGGAAATCTCATCTTGGCTATGCCTAAACAAAACAACTAAGAAAAATCAAAAAGTAATCGTGGTTTTCATAACCTGTGAAAATCCTAAGTTTTTCTGTCCTTGTCAGTTCAAGGTGGTAGCAAACATGCTAAGAGGCCTCTTCTGTGTTAAAGCACTCCATGCTTTCTTCCTGGACAAAGGACAATCCTTTCTCCCTCTATCATTTAATATAATCAAAACAAGGAATATTATATTTTCATTTTACACCTTATTTACTCCTTTTTTGTCACTTGCTATGTACTTTGTTTCTGTTTGTTTGGGTGAAACTGTTTTTCTTAGTCCTTTGCTTTTAAAGGGAGCAGCTGCTAACTGTAATGATTTTGGACTTTCCATTGGGAAAGCAAAATAAGATGAGTAAATTTACCCAAGGCTCCCCCTATTAATGCTCAGCACAAAGATAACCAAACTATTTGTCTTCAAATAGCATTCCCCCATGTTCCTGGAGAGCTGCTTCAGGACAACAGTTCTAAAGATTTCCCCTCCTTCCCCTTGACTTTCTCTCTTCACTCCAAAAAGCTTAGATCAAATGTGGCATGCTCAGTAGAACAGCCTGCACCGTACAGTTGCCACTCCTTACTGTTAGGTCTTTGATGGATTTCTCTGCTCTAGAGAAACTTCTGAAGAGGCAACCAAGCCACCTGGGTAAGATTTCCATCTATGAGTTCCTCAAAAAGCACCGCCTCATTGATTTCCTCCTCTGTGATGTACTTAAGGGTGTCAGCATAGAAGTCTGAGATGCTTTCAAGGCATTAGTGTCTGTGAAGAGAGCACACTGACTAAAGGCCTAGTTCTACTTTATGATTACCTGCAAATTCTTGTCCTCTTCTTGACATTTTCTTGGAAAAAAAAGAAAAGCCACTACATCTAGAGTTCCATCTAACCTTGAGGTGGTGAATTCTATCTTTGGTAACATGTCCAAATCAAGAAATCAAGATGGACTATGAAAGAGATGAGTAACTTTAACTAGTTCCTTATCATTGTTAATTTTGGTAAGTTTTAACAGTACAAAAGGAGTAACACTTCTGTGTATCTTCTGACTGATAGGCAGAATACAACTGTTATGCAAGAGATTATCATTTTCTAGTCTCCACATCACAAATGGAGAAATAAATCAAGAACTGAATGATGAGATCAAATTTCCTATACTTAGGAATAGGATAATCTCAAATTTTCAATTCTCTTTTCCCAAATTCTCCTTCCTTAAATAGTTATTTAAAGACTGTTTCTCATTCCCCTTCCAGCCAGGCGCAGTCCTGTGCCCCTCCCTTACTACCTATCTCTAAAAATTCATTCAGCTGCAATATGTCTGGGAACAACTCATGCATCTGTCCTTCGTAGACCTCCAACCCTTATGATGAAGCTGAAGTTTCATAGTGTGTCCTTAATACATGCTTGAGAACATCTGGATGCCCCAGTTTTGCTCCAAGTGGGGAAACTGCAGCTCTTGATCTCCCTGTGCAAGCCCGTCCTACTGTTTCTTTAACACAGCTGAAAACATCATCAGCTTTTCTGTCATCCCATCCTGTAACTGCCAAAAGCTCTACTAAGGTACGTAACCACACGTACAGACACAATACCACAGAAGTGTCACTGTTATTCCCCAACAAACAAAGCTTTTCAACATTAACAACCACGGTTTTGTATTACATATATATAGCCGTGCTTCTTGAAGACAGACAAGTTTGGTTTTTTTAATCTTTTGTTTTCAAAGATGGCAATTTTAGACTATATGGCATTTCAGCAATCCTATCAGTTCACAGCAATGCACGATTCATTAATGGGCTCATCTCTATCTGTAAAATTCTAAGGCAATTAAATAGGAATTGGTGTTTCTCCAGAGAGGCTTCTCCATCTAAAAATAAAATAGAAATTACGACAGTGACTGGCATTATTTATATCAACAGTTCTACTGGAATGATAATACAGCAGCTTTCACATGCAAATATATATACATTTAAATGACTTAGTAAGGATTAAAGTAAGGAGCTTAATACGTTTCTTTGCTTGTGCTCAATCTTTTCATTCACTTAAGAATCTTATCAAAATGCCTCTCAAAGCAATTCTTTTGGACTGTGAAGAAATGTTAGTATACCACTCTGAAAATATCCCTAGCTCTGAAAGAAGAGATGCCACATGGGAAAGAAATAGCGAGTCATTATAAAGGTATGAAAATAGGTCATTATAAAAACAATGCTTAAAAATCACATTTCCTCAAGTCAGGATTCAACAATATGATTACTCAATCTAAAGACGTAACAAATAGGTATGTTTAAAAATGTTTATGTCACTGAGATACTAAAACTTTCAAGAGAGGACAGAATCATAATCACAGGGTTTATCATGGAAAAATTCACCTCAAAGCAGATTTGAATCTATGGTAACTATGCCTCTTAGCACCCTTGAAATACCAAAGCTCCAGTACCCAGGGCTGGATCCCACTGCTGCTTGTCTCACCAGAGGCAAAAATGGTTCCTTTCAAGGACCAAGCAAACAAAAGTAAGGTCATGTCTGGAAACATACATTTGTGCTTTCTGTCTAGTATTTATTCCAAGGATACTGAAAAAAATGAATTTACACTAAGCTTTTGCAAGCTAATTTTCTCACTGTCTTGAGCCTATATCCTGTAGTAACTGCAGTGTGAAGCTGCACAGTAAATGTGAATTCAGATGTTGACATTTCATTGTAAGAAAAAGAACAATACTTTCTTTGCAAGATGCAACAATACAGAGATCAGGATCCTTTGATACCTCACTACAGGAATAACACATTTTGCAAAAGAGCAGCACATGCACCTGAGGTTCTCTCTTCTGTCTTGTGCATGTTACATTCTTGATTTTCAGTTATCTCGGTACTGCCAATAACCATAAAATTGCACACTATTTCATTTTCTTTTCTTTTGAAATTCCCATTCCTCTTTCCTGTGATCAATACTAAGAAGTAGCAGATGCTGTAGCAAAATTTCCACTCAACAAGGCTATAAAGTAAAACCTGATGAAGGAACTCTAAACGCTAACTAGAGATGGCAAACAAAACAGATGCTAGTTTAAAAAAGAAAACCCACATCACTTCAAGCCAGTAATGATTTTTAACACTTCAAACTAGCAACCGTGTGATCCAGAGTGTGATTTTTAGATGTTTCTGTAAAGCTTACATATTATTAATTCACATTCTTCAAGAGGTAAACATTTTGTCATTCTGTAGCATCCATATGTTTGGAATTTTTATTTTTTTTTTCACAGAATGACAGTGTGTGAGCTGATGGGGTGATAGTATTTGTATGATTTTGAAAAAAGGGCTGGAAAGGACATGAGTATACCCAGAAAAATGTGTGAAACTCTCACTTCTGACAAAGTTTTTCAATCACCCCTTCTACTTGGAAAGGAAAAATTTAGATTAAGGAGCTGGTTGAACCTAAAAAACCCAAGATGTTCCTATTTTTCTAGCATGAATAAGAAATACTGCATACTAGTCCCTAATTCTGGATATTATAATCACTATACAGTGCTACACCTACACAGTCCTATATGTATTGGAGAGCATTAATTCTACTTTTGTTTTTCCAAGTAGTAAAAAAACAGACAACCATTCTAACAAATACTGAAATGGATTTTTTTTCAAGTTAAAATCTCCAATGTTAAGACTTGCATTTTAAGTTTATAAAAGAAAGCAAGAAAGCTCACACCAAACAATTATCCAACTGCAAAGAATATGGATGTCCTGCAAGATTTCTTAATTCTACTTCAAAATGCTTGCACGAGTGTAGGCTTCTCCTCTGGACATCTGGATAAACAAATCTTCAAAACTTCCACTTCTTTGTGACCTGCTTATTGACCTCATCCCACGTTCTTATGAAGGCTGCCTCTCCTTTCTATATTTAAGCTCTAACAAGCATTACAAAATGCTGCTACAAATCTCTCATGCTGTTATTTGTGCTCCCTTACAAGCACTGCGCAGTAGTCCCAAACTGACCCTGATCTTAAAAGCTGGCTAGCCACCAAGTTTCACTCTGTCCCAATGTGAAGGGGCAGCAGCCTTCCTATGAAGAGAAAATGGAGTTTCCCTGCAGGAAGTGTTAGCCAAGGAGTGGTTCTTCAAAACCTCACTCCCTTGTTTAACTGTCAGGGCTGCTTGTTGGCTGCCACAACACGTTTACTTCAAAACTGTGAGGCAGGTATAAGCCACCATTAAAAACAGAATTTCCAAGGTAGCAAGAAAAAGAGGTTCTTCAGATCCCTAAAAAAAGCTACAAAGGACAAGGGATGGAGCAGCTACTTCACTAGCATATATAGATAACCTTTCAGCTCTCACCAATCACGACACAGTAATCAATATTGCTCAACTAGCCACCCTATCTCCCGTGTCTCTTTGGAAAAGTAAGTATCAAGGTACTTTAAAAATATTAAAACATGGTGGCAAGGATTCACACTTTTCTTTGAAAGGAAATGCAAATCTTTTTATATGGAAAAAGATTTATATTTCTTCACTCAGATGGTGGTGAGGAACTGGAACAGGTTGCCCAGAGAAACTTGAGGAAATGTCCTCAAGTCGTGCCAGGGAAGGTTCAGACTGGATGTTAGGAAGAATTTCTTCATGGCGGGGGTGGTTAGGCATTGCAACAGGCTGCCAGGAGAAATGGTCGTGTCCCCACCCCAGAGCTATTTAAGGAATGACTGGAACGTGGCATTGAAGGATGTGGTTTAGTGGTGGGACTTGGTAAGTCACGTTGGTGGTTGGACTTCATGGTTCCGAAGGTCTTTTCCAGCTTATGGCATCATTCTATGACTCTGTTTGTTCAAACATTAAAATATTATGCATATCAGAAGAAAAAAAGAATTTTGCAAATCAGTATTTAAACAAAGGTGCGCTTAAATGAAATTGTTCAGTTAAGAGCACTTTATTCTGGGTGCTGAGTAATAGGAAAAAACAATTTAACTAGGGTCTTCAGATTTTCATGTGTACAAGTGAAGACTTCATGCTATCTTATATCACAATTTTCACTGGGAGTAACTGAATTCTGTGTATACTATACCAGTTACAGTCACATGCACTAAGCCTCTATATTTAAGATTATACTTTTACAGCCATGCTCAGTATGATCCTGCCTTTACAACCAATACATCCTAGATACTTTCTAGTATGAAAAGTTCATGATGTCGGATAATTAAAAAAAAAAAAAAAAAAAAAAACAAAACAAAACGTTACAATGATCCATTACGACAGTCTGTCAGAACATAAAGACACAATAGCGTTGCACAGTGATGCCAGGACCTGACACAAAGACCAATGTTTCCAAGCATCACAATTTGCCTGCTTTGCCTGAAGGACAAAAAGAGGAACCCCACAGCTGCCTGCTATACTGAGGTTTCTGGTTCAAGTCTGAAGATTCTTTCACAGATCTGAATGTATTTTTTGGAAGGTTACAAGACATTTTAGGTTTCAGGGGGAAGGCTACTCAAGAGGGAGAATTCTGAGTACTTCTACCACGATCATTTCTGAACCATGAAGTATGCTAAGCTATATATAGACATGACTCCTGATCTGAATAGTTTATATAACTGCAGTAAGTTACTGATACTTTAAACGAGGATGCCAGTTGACTTTTTTTCCCCCTCAGCAACATATTTCTTAAAAAATCCACTTCCCCTACACATTGCAGCAAGCCACCTGACATAGGATTGTAGAAGCCTTGAGCCTGGAAACTGAGTGCTGCTATGCCTACACACTAGCTCTAAGGCATGTAGCCATATGCACGAAAGTGGAAAAATAGGTAACAAAATCCAGTTTTCTAATCATGAACATTAAATTCAAAACTTTTTTTTTTTCCTGACATCCATTTACTATGGCACGTTGTTCATTTAAAACTATCAATGAAAAATACAATACTGCTTTGTCTGGGGAGTCCTTAAGGATGATCCTGAAGAGTCCGTGTCAAATGGGACCACGCATACCATTTTAAGATTTATTTGAAAATCCTAAAGAATCTGTTATCATCTCCTCCCTAAGTAGGAGGATCTTTGCTTAGTCCACACTTACCACACAGCAATATTGAAATATGAACGTTTTCCTATGCAGTCCTTTTTTACAATTAATCTTTTTTTGTTTTCAGTAGTATTCCTTGTAATTTTTTAATTAGGAGTATAATATGTTCAATATCCAGTCTAAGTTGCTGGGATTTCTTAAATATTTTATTTACGAGTGGAAGTAAAGAAATAATCTCAAGTGATAAACTGAAGTGTTCTGGGGAGACCACTGGGTGTCTCTTCTACTCATGCACCTTTATTTAAATCACGTCATACTACTCACCATAAAGACAGAGACCTTGACCAGAAGAGTTTATAATATTCCCTGAAGGCATTTTGCTCCCTGTTGAAAAAAGAAAGAAAAAAAAATAGTCATGTTAACATGCCAGATCAAGCCTGTAGTTTATTTTACTCATCCATCTCTACCAATGTTGCATCTTCCACAGCACCTGCACCAGCAAGTCTGAACTTCACGCTACCCAGACAATCTTACTTACTGATCCATTTCTTGTTGCGTCACTGCATAAAAAAGTGGTTATGCTTAGCTTGATCATACAACCCAAGAAACAATTTAGGCATGAGATCTCAGTTCTAATATGACAAACAAGGTCATTCTAAATGCCAGGTGCTAACACACCTATGGAGCCAGAAAGGAACCAGCAGCAGAGCTTGAGGCAGCAGAGCTAGTCTGGTGCCTTAGTGTACAAACACAGACAGGCTGCCTTCACATCCCATCATGACCACCTTAGCAACTCGTGTCAGCTCTAGCAAAAGAAAGACTGTGCGCGCCATCCCCCTGCCCGCTCCAGATATAGCCAATTCATCACCTCATGTTCAAGTGCTATTATTTGTTATGTTAACCCAGATCTTCAGCACTAAATGTCTCTCTCAATTAAGAATCCTAAAATTACTTTCAGCAGTAGTGTGTTTTTCTTGAGATTTATGTACCTTTTTTTTTCCATGCAGCATTTCCTGAACTTTTCTTCAAGTATAACAACTTTCAGACTGTATATGAAACCTGCTCAAGTTCAACCTCTGAATCTCCCCCAACAAAACAGATTTTAAAGGGGATTCCCTTTTCTCGCTGAGGTAAAGACAAAGCATTCCCTTTGTCTTTAAACAAAACAGACTTCCCCAGCCCAGTTTCACTTGACTTTCCAGGATAGCATCACAAAATGCATGAATTTGTGATATAAAGGTTTGAATCTCTATACTAATACATGTTTGCATTTAGAAAAAAAATAAAAACATTCGAGTAACCAAGTACAAATGAAAAAAAAGCATATTCCAGGACTGTGTCCCATTTTAACCTCAAAAAGGGAAAGTTATTATCAAAGCTGCAGAGCATGCCAGCATTTCTTTGTCTCTCAGGCTACAATCTATCCTAAATCCGATAAACAGTTTGAGTTGTGTCATAAATAGTCAATTTTTGACAAAACACATGTTTTCCAAGTCTGTATTTTAAAACAAAAAATACATTGCCAGAAAATAAGCAATCAGTTCTATGTAATGAAATAGATATTTTCACTGGAAAAGATCAAAGTATTTCAAGTCCTTAAATATTTCATATTTCATGCTTGAATTGACTTAGAAATTTGGTTTCTTTTTTTCCTATTTCCATATGGCTATAAATATGGATAAAAACGAAGAAAGCAAACTAAGATTTTATTACAAGAAAAATGTTTTTTCCCATTTGCTTTTCTAGGACCAGCAGAGGAAAATTGTTTGCATTTTAAAACCCTATGGTAATGTGAAGGGGAGCAAAAAAAATAAAGATACACTTTTTTTGTTTTTGTCACAAGAACAAACATCTTGGGAACTATTTTGGACACTACATCAATGCTTTTGTCGCCAATTTGTTAGATGGAAATTCCCAGTGGTGTTCCTGCATACATGGAGCCAAGCTTGTGTCTCTTCCACAGGCAGAAACAGCTGCAGTATTGGTATTTGAGAGGTCACTGGTTTCTTTCAGAGAACAAGAAAAAATACCCTCATCGAAGATTATTTGTACCATTTTATATGATTATTAGTGAGCTACTAATTGCATGATCAGTCTGCTGAGCAAGTAGAAGCCAAAAGAGATGACATTTGTCACCCAAGTCAAACTGTTACAAAAAACAAGTATAGAAGTACATATATCTTAAAAATGACTTTTCAGGAAGATTCAGAATACTTGCAGATCATTTATTCATGATCAAGTTAACCTCTGCAAACAGTCTGTACCGTATTTGTATGACTGCAGTACAGAAAAGCCACTGGGTCAAGTCAAGACATTTATCCTAGGTGCTGTACACACTGAGAATTTGTTTTAGAGAAATGGAACAGAAGAAAGCGAGTCTGAAGCCAGGACACAAGCTGGGTATTAGTGCATGAGCTAACATGGTTGTATCAGCCACTGTAAGATCATGGAAGATCAGAAGGAGGTTTTTGACATAGTTAAGAATGAATGGTCTCAAGAAATTAATGCTGCAACATTCATGTACAGGAAACCATTTCATATCTGTACAACCATTTACATTTCATAAATACGGGAAACATAAGTGGAAAAAGATGGACCAGATGATTTCTACAGGTCCTTTTCAAACTAAATTCTTTGATTCTACATGAAAATGCTTCAGAACAGCCTACTCCATAGGCAATCTCCTCCGTACTTTCTACCATTTATCTCACAATGTGATTTAAAAACTGAATACATCTTGGTTTAACAAACAAGAAAAAATCCCACACAAAACAGGTGTTTTTTGGAAAAAATAAAATATTTTAAAAAGAACAGTCCATATGGAGCTTTTCTACAACTCTCCCAACCAATAGGTGTAGCATTATAAAACTATTGACAAGACTGATTAATCAGAAACAAAGTTTTCGAATCAGAAGAGAGATTCAATTATTATCACCATCAAAAATACAGTTCTCCAAGAGAACAGTCAAGGGACAACATATGCTGAAGAACTTAATTTTCACTTGGGTCATTAAAACAACTTTCACAGGCACTTGAATTAAATGGCTTAAACTTAGTTTTTAATATAAATATAACATTAAAATCCTGAGAAGTCGGTGAAGGATTTTTTCTTTTTCCATTTTTTTTTTATTTTTTTTTTTTCTTCATTCACAGATCCTGACGGTTGTCAGGTGTACATGCATAACTATTCATTTACTGCTTGGAGAAAAATACAATGCTGGGCTTGGTAGGATGATGAAACTGTTCACTGCTGTCTACATCAACTTGTAACTATTCCAGTTAACCCTGCTCCTGAGCTTCCAGTTGACAGATCTGTTATATGAAGAATGCAGTCAGCTGCAGCTGACTTTGAATAATGCTGCTGTTCTGTGCCCTCAAGAAATCACATGTGTAAGACTCAGGTGGCCAAATTTGTAACGTAAATTGAGCCAGGTATCAAGTTGTTCTTCTCATATATAGTATAATATGATAATATAATACATAATATAATATAATGATATAATACTATATATAATATAGTAAATTATAATTATAATAAAATATAATTATTTGAATATGAAATATTTATTGATTTATTCTTATTCTTATTTATGAATTTAAATATTTAATTTTATTTACATTTATTACTATTAAGGAAGTTAAATCCTTACATATAACCTTCCAGAGTTGTTGCAAGGCTTGTTACCCAATAGGGATTACATGCTTCGCACAGCTTAAATAACTTACCTGATGGAAAGACAAACTAGAAAATGAGATGTAAATTGTGCAGAACTAGAAACTACCTATTTGTACATCAAAGATGACCATTTCAAGTATTCTGCTTCATTTTTGACATAGAAGATAGATATCTTTAACAAACATACTGGGGAAAAGAGTTAATTACTGCTCAACAGAAAAAACAAAAAACAACAACAACAACAAAAACACAACTGTGGGTATTTTGTGTGTTTGCTATAATATGCTGAAGGCCAAGAACTAACCCAGTCAAGACCTCTTTTCCTAGGGAAGGGAACGAAACCACAAACTAACACAAACCTGAGGCTGAAGTAGTTCTATACTGGAGGAAAACATTACAAAACAAAAAACCCACCACACTCCACAAGTGTCTGGAACCCCCCATTGGTGCAACACTGAGGAAACACAAGAAGAAACTGAAGTAAAATCCCTGTGCTCAGAGGAAAGGCAGAACTTAACAAAAGACCACATTTAACACAAAGTGTGGTTCCAGTGCAGCCCTTCTGCAGCAGATTTTCTTTTGAAACCATCTGCCTGTTAAGCCATCCCAAGTTGAGGCAAAGCCTCTATATGGTTCTCTCTTCAGCTTTTCCTTCCTGACCCAGTAGCTCTGGTTCTTAGAAAGGACACTTCCCTTCTCCCTAGACTTGGAATTGGGTTCTGTTCTCAACTGCGCACAGCCTCATTGCTTGTTTCAGGCATCTGCCAGTCAAGCTGCAAGCTTCCTTTCAGCATGTATACTCCATCTTCCCAGACACACACACAGACTTCAAAACCCAGCAAACAAAAGCCAAGAAAAGGTAAAAAGGTGCCTTTGATTTTGCTGCTCATCTACTTAATCTTTCTTAGAGGATACAAACTAAACCACTCGTATTAAACAGCAGTTTTATTCAGAACAGCAAATTTATTTGGAAGTGACAGGAAGAAACCCCATCAGGGCTCTGATGTATCCCATTTTGGTCAAATACACAGCCCTCAGGAAATGCCTCTTTTTAATCATTGATGAGGATTAGCTCAAAACTTAGATGTTTAATTCACATCCTGGCATTCATATTCTGCATGTCTAAAGGTAGGTCTAGACCAGTACTAGAAAGCACAGGTGTGTGTACAAGGAGTCTGGAAGCTGTACAGAACTCCCAAACTTCAAATGTTTAAAAGCAACATGAAAATCTGTTAGTATTTAATACTCTCCTGTAATGTAAAAGCATTTATAGGCAATTGATTATATTAGCTTTGTAATACTTCCTGAAGTGCAGTAATAAATACAATATTGTTAAAAGTTCTAATATAATAAACTGAGCACAGCACTAGCTCTGATATTTATTACTGTTAATATAAAATTTTTATAGCCTGCCTAATCTACTTAAAACTTTCACTGTGTAAGACATTCTCTGCAAGAGGGAGCTGACTCGTTAGACAAGATTCAACACAAACATATGCAGTTAAGAATCTTTCCAACCAAAAAAATGGGTTAACCATATGGGATTCTCTTAACTTCAAACAGAAAGCAGTACATTTTCTATTGGGCTACTGAGTTGTTTTCTCATCCTTGCTCAACCAACACATTCTTCCCTCAAAACAAACAGCTATTTGAAAGCTAAATTCCACTTCAATATTTGAAATACGAGAGAAGACTCCAAAGGAATTTCC